TTTTAATCAAAATTTAGAATGTTCTAAAAAGAAGGAAAATTTTTTAAAAATAATTAAAAAAAAACTTTGGTCTTTCCTCTTAATAATAACATAAGCATTTAGACAATAAAATTTTGTTTTCGGCAAGTTTGGCGTCTTTTTCATCAAGCTATGCTCTTTTTTTAGCGATTTCGTGGAGGTACCTACGTTAACAATAACACATTTCTAAAAAAAACATATTTCGATTCGCATTTAATTTTTCGTTTCTGTTGCTACCTGGATTTTACTAAAAACAAAATAACTTCCATGCCTGAGGATGACTGAATGGGCAGTTGAAAGTACTTGTAGATTTTAAAAAAAAGACCTTATACAGCTTGTAGTTATTAAAAACAAGGATCATAAAATTCATCGAGTGGTTCGTAGGTTAATGCAACTTTAAAATTTTGTTTGCGAAGAGATTTCGCCATTTTATATCATTAACTTTACTAATCTACTCTACTTTTTGTATGAATGATTCATTGATTATATATATATATATATATATATATATATATATATATATATAGTTGATCGACGCGTGCTGTTGATCCGCGACTACCGGGGACGCTCTTACAACATATGAGGGCCAGGCACCTCAGTTCCAAGGAACCGAGGGCCAGTGGTGAAGGTTTTGTGCAGAACCAACCAAAACTTTTTGAAGAGCCGAATGCAGAGACCTGGTGCACAGTGTGCTACAACGTCGCCAAACGACCCTCCGCAAATTTTGAATTCAGCGTTGTTGTTCTCCTAGACCCATTGCCATCCAAGGCTACAGAACTCAGTCTGTCCCACTGTTTACCCATAAATGGGGAGAGTAGACGAGGATTGATACCTTTCCCATGAGTTTTAGCACGTAAGTGAATGGAATATATTTGACTGAAATTCCTCAATCCAAGCTGTTATCCATTACTCCACCGCGCCTGATATGCAAATGTATTGAGCAGACTAAATAACAGTAGATAACTTAATAATACAATAGAAACTATCTTAAAGGCGGAAAGATATTTACATTGTATTGTTTAGGAATCTTCGATAGTAAATTTATGTCCCGGATCATGTAATCTTCTTTTCTGACAAAACTAATGCGGACACAGTATGTGATATTTAAAAACAGTGATAAAAAATAAAAACAAAAGTGATAAAAATCTAAATGTAATTGACTACGTTATGTCTCGACACATATCAGATGGCAAAATTAAAAAAAAAGATGCAAGGTCACCTTAAGGGTTTGCGATGTAAACATTTAACTAAAGTTTGTTGCATTTCACCTTTATTCCCATTATATATATATATATATATATATATATATATATAGGATAACGATATAGAAATGTTTATATATCAAAAACAGTTGTGAAAGGAAAGATGCATGAAAAATTGGAAAAAAGTTTTTGTGACGCGTTTCCACTGTACGCACCTCCTAGTCGGACTGGGTTTGTCTACGTATTCGCATGGACGAGAGACTCTAGGAGTTTTAAAATTTAGAAATATTTTTTGGGCCAAAAAATCTAGCCAAATTCATCGAGATTCTTTTTCTTGCCATCATTTTTTTGTTATAACATATCCCCACATTGTATATACGTATATAGTTAATTAATAGATCCAATATTAGTCTAAAGGAGGTCTTTATGGGAAGGAAACACTTAATGTAGGACTTTTTGCATTCAGTTACCCACTATATATATATATATATATATATATGTATGTAAGTAGGCTATATAGAAAAATACCCTATGAATTACGTAAACAGGCAATCTCATTCTGGATTGAAAAACATCCAAAAACACTACATCCCAAATTCACTAAGGAATTTATTATCGATATTATATACGTAATTCTAAACATTAACAATTTTGAATTTGACAACAAAAACTGTAAGCAAACCCCAGATACCGTAATGGGAACAAAAATGGCAGCAACATATGCATTAACATTAGCTTACCTAGAGGTAAAAGATAGAGGAAATATATGGAAAAAATATAATAACCCACTTCACTAAATCTTTGAAACGATACTTACATGATTGCTTCAGTTTCTGGAAGTCCACATGGGGTGAAATTAACTAATTCCACACTACTTCAGGACTTACACCCAAAAATCAAATTCACCCCAAAATATAATTTCAATGAATTACCATTTTTAGATATACACATTACAGATAAAAACAACCACATAATCACAGTTATCTACCACTAACTTTCAGACACCCAACAATATCTTCATTTTAAGAGCCATCACCCAAACAGCTGCCTGAAATCCATCCCCTATTCGCTAGTACGTAGGGTTTATACTATAGTGACTGACAAACACCTTCGAAAAACCCGCCTAGAAGAACTATATAAAACTTTTAAAAAACGTTGTTACCCCATAACACTAATCAACAAATGTTTTGAACTCGCCAAAAATTCCTTTAGACTAACTACAAAATCCAAAGAAACGTAACGTGGAACAAGTTCTAGCATATGTCTCAACATACAACAAGAACAATCCAGAACTATTTACAGAAATTACAAAACATTTAGACCTACTTAGCAAGAATGACAAACTGAAAAAAAATATAAAAACAACCGAAATAATTAAAAGCAAACGCCAATCTAAAAACCTGAAAAACATATTAGACTCGTCGAAAATATGTACAATGGCATTCCAAGCAAGATGTAGTAATTTCTACCGCTTTGCAAAAAGATATGAGGTCTGGTGTAGTCTTGATGGAAGACGACCACCATCTGATTAGCCAATTCTGGAAGCTTTTCATTGCTCTTTTAAACTGAACCAATCACGATTTCCGGAAAGTAGCACGTAATGAACAATACCCTTTATCAGACACAGTATCACTTTTTTCAAATGCTGACCGGCCTTTGATGGCTCATTTCGTCCTCTCCTGGATCGTTTTCGCTCAACACTGTTATAAACAATTCATTTTTCATCGCCTGTGACGATTTTTAAAAACGAGTTTATTTTGTAGCGTTCAAGTTGAACAATATAGCCAATTTTTGGGGGTTAAATCATAAACAATATATCCGAGTGTTTTTAAATGCATTACAACTCATAGGAGATATTTTAAATATTTCTACAACCTCGCGTGTTATGTAACTGGGTTGATTTTAATCCGTGTTTCGAGTTAGTCACATCAGCGCTATGGCACCACCTTCCTAAACGGCACATATCGTTTTTGCTGTTTGTATAGCGTTTTCTTTTTGTCTTACTTTTCGAAAATAAAGATTATCAAATAAGAAAAATGAATCTCATTATCCTACATTCATAATTCACAATAAATACAAGAATCCTATAGAAAGGCGATTTGAAATGTCCTGTTTTCAAATATTTTATATCATAAATTACAGTATTGTGTGAAATGAGATCACGTGTTTAACGGTCACGAGCCCTTTTTCCCAACAGAATACCAGCTTCGGTTGATTTTGCTTAGTGGCATATCAACTTTTTAAAAATATTTTATGCCATAAATTACAGTAACGTGTGAAATGATATCACGTGTTTAACGGCCACGAACAATTTTTCCCAACTGAATCCTAGCTTTGCTTGATTTTGCTCAGTGGCATATCAACCTCTATGGGTTATTTAATGCCAAAATTTAAATATTTTGAACGCGATTGTATGGCTTTATCTCCACAGAAAATTTGTAGTTGCTCATTTTACTGTAATATAGTAATTCTACTTTAAAATGCTTTGCTTTAAAATTTTATTGTTGGTAATTTTTTTTATATAAAAATGAATTACTGGTATTTTCATAGTTTCCTAGTCTTTTACTTTTGCTTTAGGGTTCTCTATTTATCCTTAGCTTGGACCCCAACAAATGATACCCCTCCGGGTCAGGGTGGGTCTGGAAACAAGAGCAATTAAAAGGTGGTTCCACGCTCCTCAAAACCGCTAATCTTCCGATCAGAGACCTTGCTGCCGTAGTTTATCGTCATAACCAGGACGTCTGAATACTAACCTCAACAGCGATATTATAGTAGGATGAAATGCTAAAAATACCGAGACTAGAGAGAGAAACGCCAAAAGTATTGATTTGTATAAAGGAAAAATACGATGAATAAATAAAGAACGTATTTTGGAACATGTGTCAGATTACGAAAACTACACAATCCTAACAGACCTGTATAGCTATTATCTAGGGGCTGTATAACAGACGTAATTTTATTTAGAATGGCAAAAAAAATCAGAAATAGTTTGAGTTGGTGCTGTGTTAGGAGAATTCGTAACAGGTGATTAGTGGATAATGATGTGATGCGTCATCAGCAAACGTAGCTGGGATTCTTATTTGCATACATAAAGCGACAATAGATCAGTGGCACATACAAACAATTGTATCGTTTATAAAGCACCGTCTGCAGTTAGTATAATGCATACACTCGTAAGCAAATATATGGGTGCACACAGTTCACATTGCTCAAACTGACGTAGTGCTAGGTAACTGAGAACAAAGAAAATAAATAAAATTAACAAAACGAATATCAGTACATTTCCAAAATAAACAGCACGCTTCAAAAAAAAAAAAAAAAAAAAAAAAAGTTACTCGATAAAATCGCCCACAGTTTCGAAGGGCATCTCAGAAACTACCTGCTTGAATCAAGGGGTTCTCATTCATGCCACTGACGGTAGCATATTTATCTTATTGTGAGATCACTACTTCCTCGTTTGCTTGATGACGTTTCAGACAGTAAGGATTCAAATTAAGATGATGTTTTTGATTGATTTGTTTTTACGTTTTATCAACTCTTTGCACGTTACTTAAAGCCAGAAAGCATTTTTAGAGTGTCAACACTTTGGTGGGGGAGATAATAATTAGCTGATAAAAGTTCTACTAATTAAACTATTGCTGGGGAAGAAGAGGTGGACTTGTACATTTCCCAAGGATGTTTACACGTCAGGGGAATATAACGAACCCAACTGGAACTGAAACTCGGCTCTCTGATATCCACTTCCGAGACGTTATCCATCAAACTAACCGAACATCCAAGCTTACAGCACATGATATTCCCAAACGGTTACCTATCTAAGTACTGACTAGGCTCAACATTGCTTAACTTCGTCGATCGTGTGAGAACCGGTTTTTCTACGTGATATGACCGTAACCCTCAAATTAAGATGGTTAGAAAGACATTTGTTGAGGTTGACACACTCGTAGCGCTGTAACCTAGTCACTGCTGGCTTACACAGGCTCTCTTGGAGGTAGTGGTATTTAACTGGAACATTTAGAGCAGGTTCACCACCCCCGGTCAAAGGCTGGACCAACTGCACCTAGAATCTCGATGTAGGCAGCAGAATAGACATCGAGCCTTGCAAGAAGTGGAGGAGCAGCATGACGTCACCCTTGTTGCTCACGATACCCAGTACAATCACAGACGGTGTGAAATTTGCATCACTGTGTATCTATGTGGACACGCACTGAGTAACTTGATCACTTTCACGAAGCTCCTGATATCCGAACGGTTACGGTTGATTAATAATGTGGTGTAATAATGGTATAGACTCCAATCAACGTGTTATAGTTATCGATTTCCACTTAGACCAGAACTTCCGTCTGCTGTATAACAGAAAGTGTAAGTTTTCACCAAAGTGATACAATGCATAATATGCAACTGACTATAAAGAAAAAAATAGGAAATTGATTTCATGTTAGAAAAATAATTTATTTACCTAACTTTTAAATCTTCAAATTCCAGAACATCAAGAACCAGTGAAGGGCGTCAAATAGAAATATTTGACGACTGAATATTTATCATTTTCCATTCGGACTATTATCACAACATTCCGGCCGTTGTGTCAACCGGGCTTCTTCAGGGAATTTCGAACTGAAACATTTTATAATCTACCAATGTAGAATTTTTTCGTTCCGCTGTTCATATCTTTTTTTTTTACAGTGCAGTGCAAGACAATTTTTCTCTTCAGAATCTATCATACATATCTATAAGTCTACCATTTGTCCATGCTTTGAATATTGCTGTCACATATGGTCCGGTACTCCTGCTATTTACCTTGAACTCCTTGAATAAATCCAAAGAAGAGTCAGCAATATTATGGGTCCTGATCTGGCGGCACGGCCGTAAGGTTACCTCTCTGTGTCTTTTCTATAAATACTTTCATGGCAATTTTTTGGGTGCAATCTTCGATATGGTATCTAGACGTTTTGAATTTAAGTGCAGTACAAGACTGGCGTCGAGATCTCATAAATTTACAGTTGAGCTGGCTAGATATAACCATAAATTATATGCTAGCAGTTTCTTTTCTCGCACTTTTCGATTGTGGAGCTCCCTCTTGGCTCCGTGTTTTTCTGCTAAATTTAATCTCCAAAAATTTAAATGCAAAGTCAATCGCAATCTACTGTCATCTAGGTTACGCTTATCTTCCCACTCATTAATACTATTTCTGTTCCTAATTCTTTCACTCTCAGTATCCCCTTGTGTCTTAGCGGCTTTAGTGCCTTGCACGGGGTGAAACGATACAAAATAGTTTTTAGATATTTCTGTCTTGTTTCCACAGTGTTTAAAGCTGTAATACTCGAACTAGGGATTCAACTCAATTAACAATTACAATACCAACGATTTCATAAACCAACGCTTTATTCTTCCAGGCTATTGTACAGGATTAGATTCATTGGGGAAAAGACGAGTAGTGACCCAGCTAAATAAGAACATGAAAACATATCCCTAGACATGGAGAGCGGAACGAGAATAATAATAATAAATTAAGTAAAGGGTTCAAGTTGAAAGTCGTTGATGGTTACCTGAATCGACAGATATCTGAAGAAGGAAAGAGGACACAACGGCTGAAACGTTGTTATAAGAACAACAACAAAGATGGGGATATTAGTCCGAATGTTAATAAGTGATAAAAATCTCAGAAATTCACACTGAATATGTACATATAAAAGCGTATAAATTTCGAGAAAAAAATACAGTCTGCTGAGACGGCTTTAAGATATTCATTTATTCAATGATATGCCACGGCTGTTTGAGGTTTCCTATAGTCCCACTATGACAAAAACAAGGCTTTTAAACAGTCGTGATGCCATATGTGATAAATGCTTGGGCGATAGTGTTTCTTTCGGTTCCTGACAGTTCGTGCTTTTATTTAGATATTTAAATCTAAATTTCATTTTCTTTTTAAATTTCAGGCTTAATTATTTCTACTATTTTATGGGACAACAAAAAGGTAATTATTTTGTGATTTCAAATTTGCTCCACTGACCGCTTCTCATAAAAAAAATAGGACTGTAGACGAATCGCCAAGAAAAAAAGTTACTATAAAAAATAATCACTCAACAAAATATCCGAGAAGATTTTTCTTTCCAGCTTTCTCTTACCGTTGCAAGTGTAGTTTTCAAATCAGTCAGTGCCATACATAATGGGCGGCCATGTCTCTTTCGATCCTTGACTGACTAGGTAGAGATTTTCCCGTATTAGGTTGCCATTTCTTTCTGCGGTAGACTCTGTACAAACCAAGTCCTGCCATATTCCTGCTATATAACCCATAGCTAGGGGATTCATACATTTCCCGAGGGTATTTGCACATAAGTGATTGTAACGAACTCGAATAGAATTAGAACTCCGATTACTTATTCTATGCCGATATCCATTACACAACAACGCAATTATATTTATTGACCTTAGCTTAATCTGTCTCAGTATAAAATTAGATGAAGAAAGTTTGTGTTCCGCCAGTTGTTAATAATGAGTGGGTACACCTATCTACCGTGATAAAGGTAATAAAACAACTAATTTCCTAAACCAGTCAGCGTCTATTTCTGTTCTGTTAATGTTCACTATATAAGACCCAAGAGCCACTCGAGGTAGAAGGTTAGGCAGTAAGAGGCACAATTTATGGAATATAATGGTTAACCCTAAACTTGACAAGGTTAAGTTTGTAGTGATCTGTTCCACAAAGCAGCGGTTTGTGTGAAGAAACTGCTTAAGTGGAACTTACATCTCACCAATAGAATACGAAGGAAATGTTTCGCTATAATGTACATGGCATGGTGGGTCATAGCCATGTAGGTTCGAACTGGGAGAACTACGGAATGTATCAAATGAGATGAAACCAGTTGAAGAAATATAGTATTTCCTCAATTGTTAATATTGAGTGGGTAGACCTATCTACCGTGATCAATATACGAAATCGTGGATATAAAACACGCTGGAATACTGACACCATTAAAAATTCTTAAATATCTGTGCTATTAATCAAAGTTCTTTATATATATATATCAAGTTTAAAAGTCCTCTACAGCAGAGCAGTTAATGAGAAACTAGCAGCAGGTATCTACTAATCTACTTCTGATTTGGTCATTTAGTATTCAGAAATAGATGTCAACGTCCTCAAACAACAGGAAACTGTTTGAGGTAAAAAAAAAAAAATCCTAAAAAAACCAATAAAGTAGAATGCGTTTTAAATCAGCCGTCACCAACCTTTTGGACTTCACGGGCCACTAAATGTATAATTTTAAGTTTGGCGGATCACTAATATGAATTTAGAAAAAAAGGTAAATACATTTATATAATAATAATAATAATAATAATGATGATAATCGGAAAACTTATTTTATTAATATGAAATGCACCCGTTAAAGGTAAGAAAGCAATTATTTAAATAAAACAAATTGTAATTTGAAGTTTCATAAAAATTGAAATAATGTCCCAATTCTTCTGAGGACAATCAAAAATTTTGCACGGACCATCAGTGGCCCGTAGACCACCGGTTGGTGACCACTGCTTTAAATCGTTAAAACACTTTTAAAAAGACCATTGATGAAATCAACGTCAAGTGCTCAAGAATAGAAACAAAGAATTATAAACAAACCATAAACCTTAGCATGGAAATTAATTCCGCAGAAAGTGGAATCATCGGGCAAAGTCCAAACTCCACCCTAGTATGTTGCATTCAGTTTCACACAACTACTCTTGATAATAAAGCAAATCATTTATTCTCCCTTGCCCCAGATATATATTAAATAGTAGGGTATACAGAGCTCTATAGCCTTCATTGGTAGCCAGTTTACGAGAAAAACACTGAATTCGAAACTATGGAATAGGGAACGAGAAAAAAACCTACTATATTTTCCGAGAAGTTATGACATTACACGGAAGATAAAGAAAAAGAATATGTGGAGAGCCATAACCTACATCCTGAAGGGACATTATATTAAAAAAAGAAAAACAGATCTCACAAGAAAAAAAATCTGATATTCAATCACATCACCATTTAACATTTACCCTTATAAACATGGCCGCCGGCACGAAGCCATGAATAAAATTGTTTATCTTCTAAATATTTTAGACTCCGACCCAGATTCACAATAGCCATCGCTTTTATTACTCTTGGATAGAAATCAAAATCTCCAATAAAGTTGAGTTTAACAGCTTCTTCGAATCTCTCGTCTGCCTTCACTGACTGATGTAAAAAAAACAAAAAGAAAGAAAGAAAAAAAACGCCATCTCTCCCTCCATATTTGATCGCAGTCATAAACAACACATTCATCATTTCAGAGATCTTTACACATGACTGAAATATTAATAGCACTTGAAGAATAAAAAACAAAAACAAAAAAAAATAAAAATCAAAAAACAAAAAACAAAAAAAAGTTCAGAGTTGGAACATCTGTAGTCAAGTGGCTGGTGCTGACAGGGTCAAATAATCACAGACTGGGATTACTGACCAGGTTTTTTTGAGTTGTTTTTAGTTCTGTATTTCTGGTTTTCGTCGAAAAAAAGGCAATAAAACAACTAATTTCCTAAAGCTGTCAGCGTCTGTTTCTTTTCTTTTTCTTTACAATAATGTTCAGTGTACAAGACCAAAGAGCCACTCGAGGTAGATGGTTACGCGGTAAGTAGCACAATTTGTGGGAAAATAACGATTAATAAGGTTGAAAAGGTTAAACTTGGAGTTACCGGTTCCATAAATCACCGGTTTGTGTGTAGAAGCTGCTCGAGTGGAACTTACCTCACAACCAATGGAATACAAAGAAAATGAGGGTGACTTGCTATAATGTGTGTGGCATGGTGGATCATAGCCGTGTAGGTTCGAACTGGTGGAACTAAGGAATATAGTTTGTCTCAACACATTCCATGGAAATAGA